TGTGGGGGTTTCCCAGCACCTGCATTGTGCAAGGTAAGGCTTTGGGATCAGGAAGCTGCTTGACTTCTCTTGGGTTGCTTGACTGGACTTGTCTCCTCCTCATGTTTGTCACCCAAGTTACTTTTCCTTGGGTTGGTCACTTGGGTTTTGTCCTTTTTTGGGGTTGTCACTTGGATATTTGTTGTTTCTTTAGGTTTGTCACTTGGGGTTTTCTTCCACTTTGATAGCCAGTCACCACTTGCTGCACTGACTGATCTCAGGGCAGTTTTCAGCCCAGTTTTGACAGCAAGAGAGTAAGCTGCAGATCCTGCAAGGACAGATCATGGTGTGATGTCCCAGGAGCATCAAGGCTGCCTGCTGAGAGACCGAGCACTGGGCACAGCCAGCCAAGGACTCCTCCTGGGCATGGAACACCCTGAGAGTTTGGAGCAATTCAGACCATGCCATGTGTTGCCTGCCATGGAGATGAAGCCCAGCTCCCCTGCCCTCCCCACTCACCAATCGTCTGTAGCACGGCCACCTCGCCATCTTCAGCCACATCGCCATCAGCTCCCATTATCATCTTGGCAGCAACGGAGCCAGCGGCAATGCCAACCCCGGTGAGCCCCAGCGCGCCAAAGATCGCCGGGAGGCCAACCAATGCTACTCCTGCAGGGAGGACAGCACACCTTTAGGGTGCTCTCAGTGAGTCCCATCTCCCCCTGCCACCTGCACCAGAACCGGCCTCCCCAAAAGCACCCGGGGAGCAGAGCGGGCAGCGAGGGCTGGGGCTGCAGGGACGGGGACAGCCCTGGGCGGCAGGAGAGGAGCAGCGTGCAGGGCTGCAGCACCGGGGGCAGACACAACTCCATTCCAGGAGGGCCAGAGCTGCCCCTCCACCCCTCTTCCTCCCACCTGCACCCCAATTCTCCCCAGCCCTGGTACTTGCAGCCCCCAGCCCAGCCCAATCCCCAGGGCCCCATGGGGCTGGGACCGGGCAGTGAACCCGAGCGCTGCTCATGCAGTGCTGTACCCTCACCTGCTCCCACTGTGGTTCCAATGACAGCTCCAATGCTTTTCTTTTTCTTTCCTGAGAACGAAAATGGCAGGAGGGGAGGAAGGATTTCCCGGTCCTGAGCAGTGCTGAGCACTCTGTGCCGGGCAGAGCAGGGTCCCAGAGCCAGCAGCAGCTCCTCCAGCCTCCCCCTGCCTTCATCTGCCTTTTGCCTCTCAAGACCCCTGGGAAGAGGCCTCTGGAGGGGTGGGTCCCAGTGTCCCCCCAGGCTGGGAGGAACAGGGGCACATCCCGCAGTGCCCACCCACCCTGCCCTGCCCTGCCCGCCACAGCCACCAACTCGGAACAGCAAAGGGACACAGGACAGGTGTCAGCCCAGTCTGTCACCTGCCACCAGCACAAGGTCAATCAAACAGAGTTCATAACAAACTCACCCACTGCCTTGCCAGCCCTTCCCTGTGCAGAGGGAGAGGGAGCAGGGCTGGCAGCAGTGCCCACTGGAATCCCTGCCTGGAGCACAGCAATTCCCAGGGCACTCAGCAGGTACCTGCACACCCACCACCACTGCAGCCCCTCCTGCAATGCACTTCTGCTTTCGGGGCACCTCTCGCTCCTACAGCTCTTCAGAGGTGCCCAGGCTGCTGGGGCTTCCCAGTGCCTGCCAGGCTGCCTGGCAGGGACCTTGGGGTCAGGCATCTGCTTGGCTTCCCTTGAGAGGTCACAAAGAACGACAGAATGAACTAGGCTGGAAAAGACCTTTGAGATCAAATCACACCTATGACCTAACACCCCCTCATCAAATAAACCACAGCACTGATGCCACCTCCAGTGTCTTCTTAAACACGTCCAGGGATGGTGACTCCACCACCTCCCTGGCCAGACAATGTCAGTTTCTAATCAGTCTTTCAGTGAAGAACTTTTTTCCTGGTGTCTAACAAAAACTTACCCTTCTTTCTACTTCGTCTAGCCTCATTCTTGGGTTTGTCACCTGGATTTGTCTCATCCTTGGATTCCTCATTTGAAATTGTCTCCTCTTCGGGTTCATCACCAGCAATTGTCTCCTCGCCACATTCCTCGTCTGAAATTGTCTCTTCTTCAGGTTCATCACCAGGAGTTATCTCCTCACCAGATACCTCATCTGAAATTGTCTCCTCCTTGGGCTCATCACCAAGAGTTATCTTCTCACCAGATTCCTGATATGACATTGTCTCCTCCTTGGACTCATCACCAGGAGATGTGTGCTCCCCAGATTTCTCATCCAAAAGTGTCTCCTCCTTGGGTTCCTCCTCTGGAGTTGGCTTTCTCTTGTACGTCTTGGCAAAGTCTCCTGCACCGAGTGACAGCAGGATAGATGTCAGCCCAATTTTGGCACCAAGACAGAAACCTGCAGCTCCAGGCTGGTCCTGCCCCTCCCTCACAGCAGCATCCTGAGTCTCTCCTTCCCAGCACTCGCAGCCCCAGTCTGGCAGTGAGCCCCAGTGCCAGACCTTCACCTCCTGTGGCAGCTCCTTTGCCTCTGTGTCTCACAGCTAAGAGGGAAAAAGGCAGGAGGGCAGGAGGGAGAAGAGGAAAAGGAAAACAAAGAGGAAGAGAACAGGGAAGGTGGAAGAGGGAAGGAAGCAGCGCTGCCCACAGCATTGCTCACCTGCCCGTGGTGCCCAGTGCACTGGAATGGTCCCGGTGCTGTCCCTGGGGCTGCCCCATCCCAGCCACACCCAGGCAGGAGGCAGAGGGCTGAGCATGAGTCTTTATTCAGGGGGTCAGATACAGCAAGGGGGGCACAGGACAGCGTTGGGGTCCCAGCCATGATACCAGGGTATTGAGGCAATGAACCCCTAAACAGGGAATAATGTCCATTGACTCCATGATTGCAGAAGGCTGATCAAATGCTAAGCTATACTATACTATACCATGCCATGCCATGACATACCAATTACTAGGAAAAGCCAATCACCCTTTGCCAGACAGTCACAAGACATCTCTGACCTAATTGGTCAATCAATCAAAACACGATCACCAGAGTCCAATTAAGAAATCCCTCTTCAGTAAACAATCTCATTCCACATGTGCACATGCGCACAACAACAGATGCAGCAAGTGGAGATAAGAATTGTTTGTCATACTTTTTCTGAGCTTTCTAACATGCTACTCACATGTAAGAGCTTCTCACAGCTTCCCAGGAAAATCCTGGGAGAGAGAATTATGTCTCTGTCTGTTCAAAGGATATGTGACTACTACACCAGGGGGGTTCCAGAGTGTGGGGTCATGGCAGTGCACGCAAGCAAAGCAAACCCAGGAATTCAGTCCCTGCTTCCCGCGGGCAGGGAGGGGTTCAGCTCCTCCGGGAGAGCGGGACTCCTGCAGACGGGGCAGACCCAGCAAAGTCCAGCTCCAATGCCCTCCCTACTCACCGTTTCTGAAAATGAAGCCAAAATAATTCAAATTCCTAAAGAAGTCGATGATCTCACCCTTTACCAATCCTGCAAGGAGGGCAGAGCAGCGTTAGGGTGCTCTCTGTGACCCCCATCGCCCCCTGCCACCTGCACCACACCCGGCCTCCCCAAAAGCACCCAGGGAGCAGAGCGGGCAGCGAGGGCTGGGGCTGCAGGGACGGGGACAGCCCTGGGCGGCAGGAGAGGAGCAGCGTGCAGGGCTGCGGCAGCGGGGGCAGACACAACTCCATTCCAGGCACTGCCCAGAGCTGCCCCTTCCCTCTCAGCAGCACCACCAGAAGTGGAGCGCTGCTCATCTCATGCCAAATTCTCACCTGTAAGCAGAAGTGCCATGGCAAATCCCAGAAGAAATGGAATCATGAATGTCTCTAAGCCTAAGAAGGAAAATGGCAGATGAGCAGGAGTTGGGCACTAAAGCTCCTCCTGGCTGGAGCCCTGTGCCCTGAGCCGGGCAGGGCAGGGTCCCAGAGGCAGCAGCAGCTCCTCCTTCAGCCCTGCAGACACCCGAAGGGGCGAACCCCAGGGTCCCTGTGCCCCCCCACTGCAGGTCCCATGTCCCAGACCCCATGAGACACCCAACTTACCCATGGTCAGCTGGACACGAGCGAGAGCTTCAATGAGTCTGCTCTAAGCCTGGCCCCTTGGGAAGCAAGAACAAGAAATCTTTCCATGGGCAGCAGGTGGGGTCAGCGAGGCTTTGCTGCCCTGCACGATCGCCCCCAGCCACCCCTCTCCCACCCAGGACAGCCCGGCCATCCCATAAGAGCAGAGACCCCTCAGCGCCCACCCAGGCTCCAGCCCAGCCCAAGGCTACCTGTGCTGCTCCGCCAGCACACGGACTCAGACCCGCAGGGATACTGAGATATTTATCGAGGGAAAGGAGCTGGTTTTATACCTTTCATCAAGACCCACTATTTCCTTGTACGTTTTTTTAATCACTAAGTGACCTTTCTCACATTGCCATATCAGCAACGTTCTTAACGTTTTCTTATCATCCTTCAATGGGGTCATCTCGTGCCGTTCAGGTTCCGGCAGGCTCCTCTCCTTAGGGTGTCCAAAAAGTGGCATTTCTTCCCAAGGTCAGGGGACACCAGTTATTCCATGCTGCCATGGCATTCTGCAGGCACAGCCCACAGCCTGTTATCTCTCCCCACCGATACAGCCAGGTGAGCAGGGCCCCTTATTGCCCCCCCTACACAGAGAAAGGGGGTGCTGTCCCCAGACACCCCCTCTGGGAGCACAGCACCCCACACCACCAGCCTGTCCTGTGTCTGCTGTGCTCTGAGGGTCAAAGGACTGCAGAAAAGATGCCAAAAGGGAATGTCAGAACAGGCAATTCACGAGAAATTGCTCAATCACTGAATTTCACTTTCATTCTCATCAACTGCTGATGTTGTCTCTGCTGGAGCAGGGCTGGGGGCTCCCCCATCTCCAGGACATTGGACCTTGGGGTTGTCCCTGCAGGGAGCCTGTGGCTTTTGACTGTGGGGAACTATGAGGAAATATTTTGAAAATAGATGATCTGGAATGAAAATAAGTCAACCAAAACAACCTTGTATCTGAAAACTGTTTATTGAAAATGCAAAAGAAATTTTAAAAAAAGAAGAAATTACGCTACTAAAAAGTGTAGAAAAGACAGAGAAGGAGGAAGGAAAATGGAAAAGGAGTGTGGGGAGAGAGAAAGAGAGGAAGCCCGAAATCTGCTTCTGTTCACTGGCTGTGGTAATCAACAGTACTTCTTCTGGATCTCTTTGCATGAGCTCAGAGGATCATCCTCGTGTTCTCCTCCTATAAAGACAGGAGTGTCAGGTCCCAGAAGCATCGAGGCTGCCTGCTGATGGACAAGCAGGAGCCAGGGACAGCCAACAATGTCTCTCCAGCAAGAGTCTCCCCAGTCTGTGCCAGAGCATTGGCCTGCAGTGAGCTCTGCTCCCTCAGCACACCCAGCCCCTTTCTGCTCTCCATTTCCACCTCTGGCCAGTGCTGCCAGTGGACACAGCAGTTCTTGACACAGAGCACTCACCTCCCTGCACAGCCCCAATGCCCTCAGCCCTGATCCGTACCCCATCGTGTCCTGGCTCTTCCCACCACATTGGGATGGATCCCTTTCCCACACTTTGGGCACATTCAGACCATGGATGGCTTCAAGGGCTGCTTTGGCTTCAGAGTAAGCCCAGGGTCCAACCCCGTGTTCCACCCAGCACAGCCCAGCCCCCCTGCCCTCCCCACTCACCAACACGCATATGCAGACTCGTGGAAGTCATAAAGATCCGTATGGGCCGTCCCATTGCCAGTGCTGCAGGGAGGGCAGAGCAGTGTTAGGGTGCTCTCTGTGACCCCCATCTCCCCCTGCCACCTGCACCACACCCGGCCTCCCCAAAAGCACCCGGGGAGCAGAGCGGGCAGCGAGGGCTGGGGCTGCAGGGACGGGGACAGCCCTGGGCGGCAGGAGAGGAGCAGCGTGCAGGGCTGCGGCAGCGGGGGCAGACACAACTCCAGCCAGAACTCCAGGCAGCGCCCAGAGCTGCCTCTTCCCTCTCAGCAGCACCCAAGCCAAGCCGACTGCTGCTCATCTCGTGACAAACTCTCACCTGCAATTGCAACGCCAATGGCGAGTCCTGCAAAGAATGCAGCGGCAACTGGAAGAAAGACTAAGAAGGAAAATGGCAGATGAGCAGGAGTTGGGCACTAAAGTTCCTCCTGGCTGGAATCCAGCGCCGTGTACCAGGCAGGGCAGGGTCCCAGAGGCAGCAGCAGCTCGGCCGGCACCGCCCTCCTTCAGCCCTGCAGAGGCCCCAGACGGGAGAAGGGGCGAACCCCAGGGTCCCTGTGCCCCCCTCCCCCTCTGTCCCACTGCAAGTCCCGTGTCCCAGACCCCACCAGACACCCAACTTACGCATGGTGGGCCCGGCGGGAGCGAGAGCTGCGATGACCCTGCTCTAATCCCGGTCCCTTGGGAAGCAAGAACAAGATTTCTCTGCATAGGCAGCAGGTGGGTTCAGAGGGGATTTGCTGCCCGGCACGATCGCCCCCAGCCGCCCCTCTCCCACTCAAAGCCCCCGGCCCCTCCCCTCACAAGAAGAGTTCCCCCCAGCCCATGCACACGATCCTGGCCGTCCCAGGGACCAGTGCCTGCTCCGCCGGCACAGCGAGGGGAGCAGCCCCCGGTACTGTCCCCTCCTCAGAGAAAGGCTGCTGTCCCCGAGCACCCACCGCGGGACCGCGGCACCTCAACCTCTGCTGCGTCTTTAGTGCTCGGAGGGGACAATGGCGGCCGAAAATAAGTGGACCCACCCTTGCACCTTCCGGCAGGAAAGGCGGGGGTGGATCAACTGATTTCCCAGAAATTCTTAATTTCTGTTTAAGTCTTGGTGTTGCTGCCTGTGCTAGAGCAGGAGTGAGGCTCTCCCGTCCTCGGGGTCGCGCATACGGGCATATGAAGAAGTATGTAGGGTTGGGAGGGAGGGGCGGGCGCCGCGGGGCTGGGGGCGCGGGGCACGGGGCTGCCCCTCTGCCGGCCGTGTCCCCCAGCCCCAGTGAGGGCCTGCAAGGAGCCCGTGGCCATGGTGAAACCCGAGAGCGGGCAGGGGCTCTGGGGGCACCTCCTGCCCACCCCCAGTCCCATCCTCAGCCTCTCCCTGGTGCTGCCCAGGCGCAGGCACTGCCCAGATGGCCTCGGTGCCCGCAGGCACCTGGGAGCTCTTTATATTTGGAGCCATGGCCAACCCATGTGTGCCTTGGAACCAGAGCCCCTGGGCAGCTGCAGAGTGTTCAGGCTGGTGTTTCAGGGTTTTGGCTGCACTTTGAGGCTGATGGGATACTCCAGGGTGCAGCTGAGGCTCAGTGGTTTGGGCTGTGGGGGCACCAGTGCAGCTGCACCTGCAAAGAGAAGGAGGCACAGCCAAGGGCCGTGTCCTGTGAGCCCACAGGGGCCAGCAGGGATGGGTGGCAGAGGTGGGTGCCTGTGCTTGGAACCACTTCCAGAGGGGAATCTCCTTCAGCCCAAGCTCTTGGCTTGGCAGGGGTCACTGCTGCTGCTGCTGGGCCAGGATTCACCAACTCATTCCCCTGCCACCCTGCACTCCACAGGACACCCTCCACATGTCCCTGTCCACTTGTCAGAGCAGTGGTTGAAGGTTGGAGAAGCTGGGCCAGTGCAGGGCAGCACCAACCTCCCACACCCCCATGCCCCTGCCCATCTTGTTTGCAGTGATTCAGCACCAGCAGCTTGGCCACACCGGCCACAGCTCCCTGCAAGGAGCCCCGGGATGCCAAGTCCAGCCTCACATCACCAGCCCTGCCCCAGCACACACAGGCAGCAGAGTCACTGCTCAGTGCCACCCCTGAGACACCAGCCATTGCCGTGAGCCACCACGGTGGCTGCCACCACAGTCGTGCGCCCCCCAGGACGCTCTGCCAGCAGCCCAGCAGCTCCCCATGGCTGGTCCCCAGGGATCCCACCCTGAGCATCCCAGACACAGCTCCCACGAGCCAGGACAAGGGCCCGGCCCAGCAGGAGCAGTGGGCACAGCGTGCCTGGCAGCACCAGCAGCCCTGAACCACCCCAAACCAAACAGAGTGGGTGTGCAGGGGACAGGGAGCAAGGCTGGGAACACGGCCTGTGCAATCCCTGCCTGGAGCACAGCACAGCCCCAGCTGCAGGGCAGGAACCTGAGCCACCACACACACCCAAGTACCACCACACAGACATGCCAGCACTGTGCATTTATTGCTTAGTTACTGCTGAATTCCAAATCATTGAAAGCAGAAGCTGTGGGAGGGATTGGACTTTCCATCACCAGCCGTTTGGAGACGAATCCGTGTGCTTGGAAGGAAGGGATCTTGCTTCTGCTCCCTTGCACTGAACAGAGGGAGCTGTTTCTGTTCCAGCATGCCATCAGCTGCTGCTCAGAGGGCAGAGTCAGGCCATTGATGCAGCCCCTGCAAAGACAGAAGGGTGATGTTCCAGGAGCATCGACGCTGCCTGATGAGGGACAAGCATGAAGTAGGGACAGCACATGACTTCTCCTGAGTAGGAGAGGCAGGGGTCTCCATGGATCTCCATGGTGCCAGAGCGTTGGCCTGCAGTGAGCTCTGCTCCCTCAGCACACCCAGCCCCTTTCTGCTCTCCATTTCCACCTGTGGCCAGTGCTGCCAGTGGACACAGCAGTTCTTGCCACAGAGCACTCACCTCCCTGAACAGCCCCAATGCCCTCAGCCCCAACCCCTACCCCAGCAGGTCCTGGCTCTTCCCACTACATTGGGATGGATCCCGTTCCCTCAGTTTGGGCACATTCAGACCAGGAATGTGTTCAAGACCTGCTTTGGCTTCAGAGTAAGCCCAGGCTACAACCCCGTGTTCCACCCAGCACAGCCCAGCCCCCCTGACCTCCCCACTACCCTCCCAGTCAGAGTCGACATCCATTTCTTCTTCTCCTGCAGGGAGGGCAGAGCAGTGTTAGGGTGCTCTCTGTGACCCCCATCTCCCCCTGCCACCTGCACCAGACCCGGCCTCCCCAAAAGCACCCAGGGAGCAGAGCGGGCAGCGAGGGCTGGGGCTGCAGGGACAGGGACAGCCCTGGGCGGCAGGAGAGGAGCAGCGTGCAGGGCTGCGGCAGCGGGGGCAGACACAACTCCAGGCAGAACTCCAGGCAGCGCCCAGAGCTGCCCCTTCCCTCTCAGCAACACCCAAGCCAAGCTGACTGCTGCTCATCTCATGACAAACTCTCACCTCTAATTGCAACGCCAATGGCGAATGCTGCAAGGAATGCAGCAGCAGCAACAACTGGATTGAAGAAGAAGAAGCAAACTGGAAGATGAACAGGACTTGATCACTAAAGCTCCACCCAGCTGGAGCCCAGAGCCCTGTGCTGGGCAGGGCAGGGTCCCAGTGGCAGCAGCAGATCTGCCAGCAACGCCCTCCTTCAACCCTGCAGAAGCCCTGGAGGGGAGAAGGGGCGAACCCCAGGGTCCCTGTGCCCCCCCCCAGCCCCGCCCCCCCCCCAGTCTGTCCCACTGCCGGTCCCATGTCCCCGACCCCATGAGCCACCCAACTTACACATGGTCAGCTAGGCAGGAGCAAGAGCTGCCGTGAGTCTGCTCTAATCCCGGTATCCTTGGGAAGCAAGAACAAGAAATCTTTCCATGGGCAGCAGGTGGGGTCAGAGGGGCTTTGCTGCCCTGCACGATCGCCCCAGCCACCCCTCTCCCACCCAGGACAGCCCGGCCATCCCATAAGAGCAGAGACCCCTCAGTGCCCACCCAGGCTCCAGCCCAGCCCAAGGCTACCTGGGCTGCTCCGCCAGCACACGGACTCAGACCCGCAGGGATACTGAGATATTTATCGAGGGAAAGGAGCTGGTTTTATACCCTTCCGCAAGGCCCACGATTTCCTTGAACGTTTTTTATCACTAAGGGACCATCCACACATTGCCATATCAGCAACATTCTTAACGTTTTCTTATCATCCTTCCATGGGCTTATCTCGTGCTGTTCAGGTTCCGACAGGCTCCTCTCCTTCGGGCGTCCACCAAGTGGCATTTCTTCCCAAGGTCAGGAGAGACCAGTTATTCCATGCTGCCATGGCATTCTGCAGGCACATCCCACAGCCTGGAACTCAATTCCATCTTATCTCTCCCCACTGGTGCAGGAAGATGAGCAGGGCCCCCTGTTATTGCCCCCAAGGTGAGCAGCCCTCCCCGTTATTGCCCCCCCGTACACAGAGAAAGGGGGTGCTGTCCCCAAACATCCACTGTGGGAGCACAGCACCCCACACCACCAGCCTGTCCTGTGGCTGCTGTGCTCTGAGGGTCAAAGGGCTGCAGGAAAGATCCCAAAAGGGAATGTCAGGACAAATAATTTCCGAGAAATTGCTCAATCGCTGAGTTTCACTTTCATTCTCATCAACTGCTGATGTTGTCTCAGCTGGAGCAGGGCTGGGGCTCCCCCATCTCCAGGACATTGGACCTTGGGATTGTCCCTGCAGGGAGCCTGTGGCTTTCCACTGTGGGGAACGGCAAGGAATTCTTCTAAAAATAGATGGTCTGGATTGAAGTTAAGTCAACCGAGACAACATTGTATCTGAAAACTATTTATTGATAACGAAAAAACAAACAAAAAAAGAGAAATTATGCAAATAAAAGTGCTAGAAAAGATAGAGAAGGAGAAAGGAAAATGGAAAAGGAGTGGGGAGAGAGAGAAAGAGAGGAAGCCAGAGAGAAAAAGTGGGAGGGAGCAGCAGCAGATGGCGGTGTGCCATCGATGCCCACAGGACGCAGGGTGTGCTCGCTTCCTGCAGCGACGCGAGGCCGGACACGCGGGGAGTGAGCGGGCGCTGGGGCAGGATGTGCGGGAGCCCGGACAGGGGCACGGGGGGATCGGGCAGCACGGTGGGCCGGGTGGGACAGCAGATCTTTGAGAAGTTCTTGAAAGCCCTCGCTCAGTTTCACTTTCTCCTTAACTCTGTCTCTGCTCGAGCAGGGCTGGGGCTCTCCCGTCCTCACCCTGGGGTGTCCCCTCAGGAGCGCTTTGGCCCCGATGGCCTCGGGCGGGGCTGAGGGGGAAGGACGCGCCGGGCCGGGGCTGCTCAGGCTGTGCCGGGGCTCCTGTGGCTTCACGGAGCCTTTCCCCGGCAGGTTTGGGACCCCTGAAACTCCGCGACTCCAGCGAGCACCCACAGCAGTCTGGAGAGCAGAGCTGAAAAAATACATCTTAACATTCCATAGCCCCGGCCGGCTCCATATGGGCATATGAGGAATTGTGTAGGGTTGGGAGGGAGAGGCGGGCACCGCAAGGCACGGGGCTGTCCCTCTGCCGGCCGTGTCCTCCAGCCCCAGTGAGGTCCTGGAAGGAGCCCGTGGCCATGGTGAAACCCGAGAGCGGGCAGGGGCTCTGGGGAGCACCTTCTCCACGTGCTTGGAGGGCGAGGCAGCGCCGTGGCCAGTCCATGTGTGCTTCGAACCGAGAGCCCTTGGCGGCTGGAGAGTGTTCAGGACGGTGTTTTGGGGGAATTTGGCTGCCCTTTGAGGCTGCAGAGATGCACCCACTCCAGCCCCGGGGCTCTCCGGCCCTGCAGTGCAGTGCCAGGCTGCCCTGAGGATTTGCTGCAGCAGTGCCGAGTCCCGGGGACTGCCAGCACTGCCGGGCTGCAGTGGGAGCGGCCCCTGGCTGTGCAGGGGGACAGGGAGCAAGGCTGGAAACACGGCCTGTGCAATCCCTGCCTGGAGCACAGCACAGCCCCAGCTGCAGGGCACGAACCTGAGCCACCACGCACACCAAGCAACACCACACACACACATCCACACCAGCAATGCACTTTGATTAAAGGTTTCAAAAGCATTTATTGCTCAAGGCAATCCAAAACTTTTGAAGGGGCAGCTGGGGGTCTTTGGGGGATTTCCAGTCCCAGCAGTGGGAATACATGAATCAAGCCAGTTGGAAGGAAGGAAATCACCTTCTGTTTACTGGCAGTGGGAACCTGGAGCTCTTCCCATGGACAGCATGATGTCTGCTTGCAGGGCAGTCAGTCCTCATGTTTCCCCTCTATAAAGACAGGAGTGTCAGGTCCCAGAAGCATCGAGGCTGCCTGCTGATGGACAAGCAGGAGCCAGGGACAGCCAACAATGTCTCTCCAGCAAGAGTCTCCCCAGTCTGTGCCAGAGCATTGGCCTGCAGTCAGCTCTGCTCCCTGAGCACATCCAGCCCCTTTCTGCTCCCCATTTCTGTCCCTGGCCAGTGCTGCCAGTGGACACAGCAGTTCTTGCCACAGAGCACTCACTTCCCTGCACAGCCCCAATGCCTTCAGCCCCAGCCCCGACCCCATCAGGTCCTGGGTCTTCCCACCACATTGGAATGGATCCTTTTCCCACACTTTGGGCACATTCAGACCAGTGAGGGCTTCAAGGGCTGCTTTGGCTTCAGAGTAAGCCCAGGCTACAACCCCGTGTTCCACCCAGCACAGCTCAGCCCCCCTGCCCTCCTCACTCACCAGCTTGAAAAAAGAAGGAAAAAGATCCCTTGTTCGTTTTGATGGTTATCTTGTCTTTCTTTATCGCTGTTCCAGGGAGGACAGAGCAGCGTTAGGGTGCTCTCTGTGAGCCCCATCTCCCCCTGCCACCTGCACCACACCCGGCCTCCCCAAAAGCACCCAGGGAGCAGAGCGGGCAGCGAGGGCTGGGGCTGCAGGGACGGGGACAGCCCTGGGCGGCAGGAGAGGAGCAGCGTGCAGGGCTGCGGCAGCGGGGGCAGACACAACTCCATTCCAGGCACTGCCCAGAGCTGCCCCTTCCCTCAGCAGCACCATAAGAGAACCCAAACGCTCCTTATCCCGTGCCAGACTCTCACCTATAAATGTAATTCCTGCAACGACTACAACTAATCCAACGACCTTTACAATTGCAAGGATGACTGGAACAGGAACTAAGGAGGAAAATGGCAGATGAGCAGCAATGTGGGCAGTAAAGCCCCTCCCGGCTGGAGCCCCGTGCCCTGAGCCCGGCAGGGTCCCAGAGGCAGCAGCAGCTCTGCCAGCGCCGCCCTCCTTCAGCCCGCCGGGAGGAGAGGGGAGAAGGGGCGAACCGCAGGGTCCCTGTGCCCCTGTCTGGGGCTGTCCCACTGCAGGTTCCGCGCCCCCCACCCCATGAGCCTCCCAACTTACGCATGATGGGCTGGACAGGAGGGAGAGCTGCGATGGGTCTCCTCTAATCCAGGTACTTTGGGAAGCGAGAACAAGATTTCTCTGCATAGGGAGCAAGCGGGATCAGAGGGGCTTTGCTGCCCGCCATGATCGCCCCCAATCACCCATCTCCCACCCAGGAGACCCCAACCCCCTCCCCTTAAAAGCAGAGATCCCCCAGTCCCGCCCAGGCTCCTGCCCGGCCGGGTTTTGTGGCCGCTCCGCCGGCACAGCGAGGGGAGCAGCCCCCGGTACTGTCCCCCCATTACACAAAGGCTGCTGTCCCCCAACACTCACCGCGGGACCGCGGCACCTCACGCCACCAACCTGGCCTGTGTGTACTTTGCTCTGAGGGACAAAGGCCTGCAGGAAAGTTCGAGCCAGGGTGTGTCTGGTCAAACAATTTCCGAGAAATTCTGAAGCCGGTCACTCGTTTTCGCTTTCTAGTTAACTCTTGATGTTTCTGTCTCTGCTCGAGCAGGGCCGGGGCTCTCCCGTCCTCACTCTGGGGTGTCCCCTCAGGGAGCCCTTTGGCCCCGATGGCCGCGGACGGGAGATGATGGGGAAGGACGCGCCGGGCCGGGGCTGCTCAGGCTGTGCCCGGGCTCCTGTGGCTTCACGGAGCCTTTCCCCAGCAGGTTTGGGACCGATGAAACTCCGCGGCTCTGAGGAGCACCTACAGCAGTCTGGAGAGCAGAGCTGGAGCCGCTCTGCCTCCTCCTCCCCACAGGGCAGCCTCAAAAACCGGCTGAAACCCCTCTCTGCACCCCCTTGTTTGCTGCTGCTGCTGAGCTGGGTCAGGATGCACCAGCTCATTCCCCTGTCCCCTGCATCCCGCAGGACCCCCAAAATCAACATTCCCCTGTCCATTTAACAGAGCAGTGCTCAAGGTTGGTGAACCGGGACCAGTGTAGGAAGGCACCTACCTACCACACCCCCATGCCCCTGCCCATCTTGTTTGCAGTGATTCAGCACCAGCAGCTTGGCCACACCGGCCACAGCTCCCTGCAAGGAGACCCCGGGGTGCCAAGTCCAGCCTCACATCACCAGCCCTGCCCCAGCACACACAGGCAGCAGAGTCACTGCTCAGTGCCACCCCTGAGACACCAGCCATTGCCGTGAGCCACCACGGTGGCTGCCACCACAGCCGTGCTCCCCCCAGGACGCTCTGCCAGCAGCCCAGCAGCTCCCCCATGGCTGCTCCCCAGGGATCCCACCCTGAGCATCCCAGACACAGCTCCCACGAGCCAGGACAAGGGCCCAGCCCAGCAGGAGACGTGGGCACAGCGTGTCTGGCAGCACCAGCAGCCCTGAACCACCCCAAATCCAACAGAGTGGGTGTGCAGGGGACAGGGAGCAAGGCTGGGAACACGGCCTGTGCAATCCCTGCCTGGAGCACAGCACAGCCCCAGCTGTGGGGCAGCAACCTGAGCCACCACACACACCCAAGTACCACAACACAGACATGCCAGCACTGTGCATTTATTGCTTAGTTACTGCTGAATTCCAAATCATTGAAAGCAGAAGCTGTGGGAGGGATTGGACTTTCCAACACCAGCCGTTTGGAGACGAATCCGTGTGCTTGGAAGGAAGGGATCTTGCTTCTGCTCCCTTGCACTGAGCACAGGGAGTTGTTTCTGTTCCAGCATGCCATCAGCTGCTGCTCAGAGGGCAGTCAGGCCATTGATGCAGCCCCTGCAAAGACAGAAGGGTGATGTTCCAGGAGCATCGACGCTGCCTGCTCAGGGACAAGCATGAGGCAGGAACCTGAGCCACGAGGCACACCAGCACCACCACACACACCCACACCAGAAAAGCACTTTTATTAAAGTATTCAAAAGCATTTATTGCTCAAGGCCATCCAAATCTGTTAAAGGGCCAGCTGCTGATCACTGATGGCATTCTAGCCCATGCTGTGGGAAGACATGAAGCATGCTGCTTGGAAGGAAGGAAATCACCTTCTGTTCACTGCCCATGGGGATCAGGCTTTCTTCTTCTGGTCAGCAAGGCATTGGCTGCAGCATGAGGGACTGGCCTTTTGTTTCCCCCCTACAAAGACAGGAGTAACAGGTCCCAGAAGCATCGAGGCTGCCTGCTGATGGACAAGCAGGAGCCAGGGACAGCCAACAATGTCTCTCCAGCAAGTCTCCCCAGTCTGTTCCAGAGCGTTGGCCTGCAGTCAGCTCTGCTCCCTGAGCACACCCAGCCTCTTTCAACTCTCCATTTCCACCTGTGGCCAGTGCTGCCAGTGGACACAGCAGTTCTTGCCACAGAGCACTCACCTCCCTGCACAGCCCCAATGCCCTCAGCCCTGGTCCCTACCCCATCGGGTCCTGGCTCTTCCCACCACATTGGGACGGATCCCTTTCCCACACTTTGGGCACATTCAGACCAGTGAGGGCTTCAAGGGCTGCTATGGATTCAGAGTAAGCCCAGGGTCCAACCCCGTGTTCCACCCAGCACAGCCCAGCCCCCCTGCCCTCCCCACTCACCAGGATCACCACGTGCACCCCCGGCATTCACAGAGGTCTCCATGGGCTGATTCATTGCGACAGCTGCAGGGAGGGCAGAGCAGCGTTAGGGTGCTCTCTGTGACCCCCATCTCCCCCTGCCACCTGCACCAGACCCAGCCTCCCCAAAAGCACCCGGGGAGCAGAGCGGGCAGCGAGGGCTGGGGCTGCAGGGACGGGGACAGCCCTGGGCGGCAGGAGAGGAGCAGCGTGCAGGGCTGCGGCAGCGGGGGCAGACACAACTCCATTCCAGGCACTGCCCAGAGCTGCCCCTTCCCTCTCAGCAGCACAACAAGCGAATCCGAGCGCTGCTCATCCCGTGTCAAATTCTCACCCAAAATTGCAGCGCCTATGACCAGTACCGCCAGGTAAGCCACGGCAACTGGAAGAAAGCCTAAAAAAGAAAATGACAGATGGGCGGGAGTGTGTGGGCACTAAAGCTCCTCCCAGCTGGAGCCCCGTGCCCTGAGCCCGGCAGGGTCCCAGAGGCAGCAGCAGCTCTGCCAGCACCGCCCTCCTTCAGCCCTCCGGGAGGAGAGGGGAGCAGGGGCGAACCCCAGGGTCTCTGTGCCCCCTCGATCTGCCCCCCACCCCCGAGCCACGCAACTTACTCATGGGCAGCTGGACAGGAGCGAGATCTGCGATGAATCTGCTCTAATCCCGCTCCCTTGGGAAGCAAGAAGATTTTTTTGCGTGGCCGGGAGCTGCGACCAGCGGGGCTTTGCTGCCCTCCACGATCGCCCCCAGCCGCCCCTCTCCCACCCAGGAGACCCCGGCCCCCTCCCCTCACAAGAAGAGACCCCTCCCGTCCCCAGCCCCGGCTCCTGCCCGGCCGCTCCGCCGGCACAGCGAGGGGAGCAGCCCCCGGTTCTGTCCCCCCATTACAGAAAGGCTGCTGTCCCCACACACCCACCGCGACACTCCACGACACCAAAGTCCTGTTTACGCTCTGAGGGTCCAATGGCGTTGGGAAAAGCTCCCGCCAGGCACGGCAGCTGTGCGTCAGCTGCTTTCCGGGAAATTCGGAAGCCGATCGCTCCGTTTCACTTTCTCCAAACTCTAGATGGTGCTGTCTCTGCTAGAGCAGGGCTGGGACCCTCGGGGTCGCACCCTCAGGGATCCCTTTGGCCCCCAAGGCCTCGGGCGGGGGCTGAGGGGGAAGGACGCGCCGGGCCGGGGCTGCTCAGGCTGTGCCGGGGCTCCTGTGGCTTCACGGAGCCTTTCCCCGGCAGGTTTGGGACCGATGAAACTCCGCGGCTCCGAGGAGCACCTACAGCAGTCTGGAGAGCAGAGCTGGAGCCGCTCTGCCTCCTCCTCCCCACAGGGCAGCCTCAAAAACCGGCTGAAACCCCTCTCTGCCCCCCCGTTTGTCCCGCTCCCTGCAGCCGCTCCTCAGCCCGATCCCGCTCGGGGCAGCACGGATGTAGCGCTCAGGGCCAGCGGGTGCTGTGGCTCATGCGCCGCTGCAGCTGGTTGAAGGGGACCAAATCCAGTTGCAAGTTGATCTGGTTCCTTTTTACCAGCCCCAGGGGACGCATCGTCTCTCCGGAGGCTCCGTCTGGTCGCTGCTGGTGATGAGGGGGCTCCCGGCGTGGGGGTCCCAGCCCAAAAATACATACTTCTTAACATTCCATAGCACCGGCCGGCTCCATATGGGCATATGAAGAAGTATGTAGGGTTGGGAGGGAGGGGCGGGCGCCGCGGGGCTGGGGGCGCGGGGCACGGGGCTGCCCCTCTGCCGGCCGTGTCCCCCAGCCCCAGTGAGGTCCTGGAAGGAGCCCGTGGCCATGGTGAAACCCGAGAGCGGGCAGGGGCTCTGGGGGCACCTCCTGCCCACCCCCAGTCCCATCCTCAGCCTCTCCCCGGTGCAGCCCAGGTGCAGGCACTGCCCAGATGGCCCTTGTGCCCACAGCCACCAAACTGCTCCTCGTGTTTGGAGCCATTGCCAACCCATGTGTGCCTCGGACCCAGAGCCCCTGGGCAGCTGCAGAGTGTTCAGGCTGCTGTTTTGTGGGTGGCTGCGCTTTGAGGCTGATGGGATACTCCAGGGTGCAGCTGAGGCTCAGTGGTTTGGGCTGTGGGGGCACCAGTGCAGCTGCAACTGCAAGGAGAAGGAGGCACAGCCAAGGGCCGTGTCCTGTGAGCGCACAGGGGCCAGCAGGGATGGGTGGCAGAGGTGGGTGCCTGTGCCTGCAGCCATTTCCACAGGGGAATCCTCCTTGGCCCTGGCTCTTGGCTTGGCAGGGGTTCCCCTGGTGCTGCTGCTGCTGTGCTGGGTCAGGATGCACCAACTCATTCCCCTGCATCCCCCACGACCCCCAAACTCCACATCCCCATATCTGTCCATGTGCCAGGGCAGTGTTTCAGCTGGTGCACATAAAGTCAGTGTAGGTGGGCACGCACATCCCACATCCCCATGCCCCTGCCCATTTTGTTTGCAGAGCCAGGAGAAGGACACAGGACTCTGGGCCCCTCCCCACCCAGCAGCTCTGGACTGTGAGTGCTGGAGGTGCCTCTGCCCATGGGAGGAGGGATCCAGCTGAGAACTCAGAGTCCTGACAGTCTGAGGGGGCTGTGGGGGCATCCCATGCCCAGCACAGCTTGGCCATGGCAGGGTGACAGAGAGGGTGCACGCTGACTTTAGTTTCCTTCCCAGCCCTAAACCTGCGGTTGGAATGGGACAATGGCAGGTACAGGGAGCGTTCCTGGGTTCCCAGGGCTGCCCCCTCTCAGTACAGGGGGTGAGGGGTGCGTGGGGGTCTGGCTGTGGGCAGGAGGGGCTGGCTGGACACAGCGTGGCTGTGACTCAGCACCGGGAGCCCTGGCCACACACACCTCAGCTCCCTGCAAGGAGCCCCCGGGTGCCAAGTGCAGCCTCACGTCACCAGCCCAGCTCACAGCACACACAGGCAGCAGTCGCTGCTCAGGGCACCCCAAGACACCAATCACTGCTGTGGGGCACAGCGTGACACAGCCAGGACGCTCTGCCAGCAGCCCAGCAGCTCCCCCATGGCTGCTCCCCAGGGATCCCACCCTGGGCATCCCAGACACGGCTCCCACGAGCCAGGACAAGGGCCCAGCCCAGCAGGAGCAGTGGGCACAGCGTGCCTGGCAGCACCAGCAGCCCTGAACCACCCCAAACCAAACAGAGTGGGTGTCCTGAGCCCGAGGCTGCAGAGATGCATCCACTGCACCCCCGGGGCTCTGCCGGCCCTGCAGTGCAGTGCCAGGCTGCCCTGAGGATTTGCTGCAGCAGCGCCGGGGTCCCAGGGACTGCCGGCACTGCCAGGCTGCAGTGGGAGTCAAAAGCTCAGGGCTGAGCCCACCCTGAAACCACAGAGCCAGGGCTCTCACATGGCGGCCGAGTTCATCTCCAGTCACCTCGGCTGACCTTGGGCAGGCTCCCAGTGCTGGGAATCAGAGACACCCCAGCCCGAGTGGCCCACACAGCCCCAGCCCGTGGCACTGCTCCCACAGCCCTCGGCCGGGTTCTCCCAGTGACCTTGGAGGCTGCACCAGCTCCAGGGGATCCTCACTGCCTCCAGAGCACCTCGCTGTGTCCCCTGCTCCAGCCCGGGCCGCCCTGCCTGCTCCCACCACCCCTCCTTGCCCCTGCCCTGTTCCTCAGACCGGTTCTACCTCACTGCCCTCTCCGTGCCCGGACATTTCTTGTCATACCCACCAACCCCTCTGCAGTCCCGGGCGTGCCCCCCACCCCCGAAGGCCTCCCCGAGCCCTCCCCAGCCCCAGCGCTGCTGTAAACCCCGAGCCGAAACCCACCAGGGAGCTGTGGCCTGGGGCAGCCCCTCTTCCAGGAATCCTCCATGCCCGCACACCGGCTGTGGATCCCCGGCCAGGGCAGCCCCCCGTGCTCTCTGCGTGCCCCGAGAGCAGCTCCGTGCCCGGCCAGGGTGGTTTGCGGGCACCAGGCGGCTTTGCAGGGGCTGCCCGGGCCGACCGTGGTGGCACCCACGCGTCCGCAGGCACCCAACAACCCCGGCTTGGCTATAAAAGGAAGAGTCTTTTTTCTCCCCCGGCTCCGCCAGCGCCGCGTCCCTGGCCGAGCTCTGCAGCCGCTGCCCCGCAGGGCCCTTTCCAAGTTTTCCCATCCAGCGCTGCCCCCCCAGCCGGCTTTCCCCGGCTCATCCATCCCCACTGCAGCAGCTGCTGGCTGACTTATAAAATACCAAGAGGCCCAGCAAGCGGGAGGGTGCAGGGGTAGCGCTGGCACGGGGTGCCCGGGGGATCACCCCGGCTCCGTCCTGCCGTCCCTTGGCCCGGCATTGCCCGTGTCGGGGCGGTGGGCGCACGACCCCGGTGCACCGGCCGTGGTGGTCCGCGCTTCCCTCCGTGCCGGTCCAAAACGCGATGCCGAGGTGCCCAGAAGTTGGGTTTCCCACCCTGTCCCGCAGGCTTGGGATGTCCCCACTTTGTGTCTCGGCTCCCTGGGGAGGGGGCGACCCACCCCGCTGCAGGGGGACCCCCGCAAGCAGCCGGGCCGCAGAGCCCCAGCATTCACCCCCAAGACCCCTCCGCAGCCGGGACCTGCCGGGGGGACCCCATTGTCCCCCCAGCCACCCCCGCTCCTCCGCCCGCACCGGGCTGGCCCCAAGCAGGGTGGGGGGGCTGCGGTGTCCCCCTCCCCAGGGCGTCCCCTCCCCGCCCACGCCGCCGGCGCCCGCAGCCGGAGCATCCCCGGCCCCGGCGGGCTCAGCACCGGCCGGGCTCGCTGAAGGTTAAACCTTGGCGGCGGGGAAAGCCCCGCTACCCCCCGCAGACCCCGCAGCTCCCGCCCGCAAGGCCACTCACGGTGCTGGAGGTGACAGCGGCCGCAGCAGGCTGGGCTGGCGGCAGCGAGCTGCGGTGACACCCGGCACGGGCACGCTGCTTCCCTGCTCGCCTTGACTTTGCCACAGGACTCCTCCGGCTCGTCCGCAGGAGCTTGCAGCATCCTCCAGTTCAGCGGGAGAAGTTCCTCGCCAGGAGGGAGGGAGGAGGGAGGGATTTAAGGCAGACCCTGCCGGGGATGCAACATCTACGGGTGCAGCTGAAGACCCCTGGCTCGCTGGGCACCCCAAAGCTCCCTCCTCGCTCTCCCCATGCTGCTGTCGGTGTCCCGGCACACGTGCCCGATTCTGGGTGATCTCTGCTGAGAAACCCTCTCCCTCCCGGACACAGACAGCCAGGGCTGCCACCAGCACGCAGACAGCGACCCAGCTCTGCCACCTGCCCCACGTCCCCCGGGTGCCCGCGGGGGTCCCAAGCCTTGTCGTGGGGGAGCCGGCACCCAGCACCGGGCCCAGCAGCAGCCCAGGGCAGCTCGAGGGCAAAACGGAGCTGGTGGAGAGCACAGAAGGGTAAAACCCGGCACCACCTCAGCCACACGAGATTCCCCGTGCGGATGGGCATCCCTGGGTGTCCCCAGGCCACCCACCTGGGGTGTCCCCAACCACGGGGCGTTGTTCCAGCATCCCCAGCTGCCAAGTCCGGGGGTACAGGGCTGCTCTGCCCACCCGGAGCCCCACCTGTCCTACCTGCAGAGAGCCGGCAGGGCAAGGGGCAGGACGCTGGGAGACACCTTAGCGTGGCTCCCAAAGGGAAAAGCCGGGGCCAGCAGCGTGGCATCCCTCCCGCGGCTGTCCCGGCGGCTCCCTGCCTGCCGCGACACCCTCCCCATGCCGGGTGCGCTCTGTTTGCCTGCTATTTTTGGCAGCCTCCTAAGAGCTCCTCTCAGGCTATTAATAATGAGAGTGAGAAATTCGTTTGGCCTCTCCTATATAAGGAAAGGTAGAGGCTTAGAGGCAGCTAAATATACTGGCGCGTGCGGGAGCGAGCGGGGAGCCCTTGGCACCGCGTGTGGAAAAGAGATTGTTTGAACAATGGAAACACGGACTCACTCGGAGCACGGGGCCCCGCCTGGACCGACGGGCGGACGGAGGGATGGACGGAGGGTGACGGTGCCCGCGGGGCTCCACCGCAGCAGCCGCCGATGCCC